AATAGCAAATATTCAAACACTGGAAAATACCTGTGTTGACCTCACATAAATGACTCAGGAGGCTGCTAAAATTAAAAATGGCAAAGTTTATTAAAGAGTCCCAGGATTTGTGAATCAGAAATGTTACCAGGTTCTGTACTCATAGCAAACATTCCTGAGAAGAATCCGTCTCGCATTCAGCGCCTCTAGGTTAGTCTGCAGTGATCACCACCCAGATGACCCCTGGCCTGGATAATGGATGTCACGTGTCCGTCTGGACACGTGGGCATTCTTTCCTGACTCCTTCATTCCTTCCCGAGTGCTTCTATAAGAATTTATGTATCTCTGGGCACTGACGCACAACTGAGAAATCCAACGGCTTAAGGCCTCGGGCTAAAGTAAAATAAAATCTGTTTTTCATGCTTCAGTCCCTTTGATCTGAGCCAGCTCCACCGGCTTCACTCTACAGAATCCATTTTCAGTCAGCTTAGCTACAATGACTGCATCATCTGTTGTTCACTCATTCCTCGCCAGGTTACGTAATTGGGTAGTATTGGCGTGACGTGCCAAAATTCCCAATTTGGAGACTGACTTTGCTTCCAAGACGTATTATTTCTTAGGACTTGAGTAGAGCATACTCATACTATGCATGCAAACTTATAGTCATTTTTAAAAAATGGCTCAGTGGTTGAGCATCGACCTATGAACCGGGAGGTCACAGTTTTATTTCAGCTAGGGCACATGTCTGGATTGCTGGCTCAATACCCGGTGTGGGGCATGCGGGAGGCAGCTGATCAACGATTCTCTTTCATCATGATGTTTCTATCTCTCCCTCTCTTTTCCTCTCTGAAATCAATAAAAATACATATATTTTTAAATGTCTCACCATTAGCAGTGGACAGAGCCACAGACACACACTTATCACATGGCAACAGCTACAAGCAAGACTGATTACAGTTCTCTCCTACAAGCTCCTGTCCCAGGTTGTAGAAATGTCATCCTTGACCTTTGACTCTGCACACCCATGTTTTCTGCTCTAGCTTTCCATATGTCAGTGGGTTCAAACTAAGAACATCTCTGTTTCATTGTGAAGCCTTAATTTTCACAGAAGGATAGTTCTTCCTGCCTCCAGAGGTCGCTGTCACACAAGCAGAGAGAAGAGAGAGCTTCAACTGGTCAGCTGTGTAGAGTAACTCAGGTGGGGAGTGGGAAAGGCTGTGGATCAATTGAGACAAGGTCCATGGCATGACCCCCCTGGGAGAACAGTCCACACGTTCTCCCCGGATAACCGTGGGCTGGGGCATCAGTGGGCGCCATGTGTTCTGGAACCTGCTCAGACCTTCCATATCCTCTGGGCCTTTGCAGTGATGTCTTGGAGTGTCTTTCCCTAAGCCTCCCAGCCATTGGGTCTCAGCTCAAATGTCATCTCCTGACTATTTACTCTCCCTTTTAATTTCTCCACAGAATCCATCACCTCTATCATTATCTGGTTTACCTAATTGTTTAGTATCTGTCCCTTCCCCCTCTTCCCCATGAGGAATGGCAACTCTAGAAGACCATTGGCCTTCTTTGCCTTATTTTCTGCTAAATCCCAGTGCCTAGTTATTAAATGAATGAACAACTGAAGGGATAGAGTAGGAGAGTGCAGGTGCCTTTTTGAAGTCATCTCCCTGAACTTCCTTCTCCTCATTTGTCAAAAGTGGATGAGAATTCCTCTGTAGTCCTTTTCAACAACGTGTTATTGGCCCCAGGCCCATTTACCTAAGCAAACCAGGTTCTCTTTGGGTACAACACTCATAAATGACCAATAGGTGGCAGCAGGATACTATGGATGAATCATGACAAAGCCTGGGCCACCTAGACTCTAGCACAAAATACCTAAAATTCAATCTCCCAACAGCCAAGTTGGTTCATTTTCACCATCTGAAGTGCAAGACTTTCTTCAACACCATGCACATGCTCCTGATACCCAAAAGGAAGGACACCGAATTCAACTCCAGCTCAGCCACTTACTGGCTGGCCCAGGTAATTGCCTTCTATGAAGTGTGTGTGTGTGTGTGTGTGTGTGTGTGTGTGTGTGTGTCATTATGAACTCACAGGGTCATTATGAGAATCCAGCAGACAAAGAATGTGGAAGGACAGCATGTGGGGGTCAAAAAAAAAGGGTTTGAGGACTGCAGGGTGCTTGAAGCTCTGGGGAAGCCATGGGTGGAGCTTACACTTGCTGAGCCCCCCATGAACTCTTCACACTCCAAGCAGTCTCCTCCCTCTTTACTTTCCCTGCCCCTTCCCATTCCGCACCTGCACTCTGCAGCTGAACATGGTTGAAGAAGAAACAACACGTGACCAGCCTCACTCAAAACTGACATCCTCAAACCAGAAGGGGGTACCTGAGCTGGCAATGGGATTCTGTTTCACTGGTCTCTTCAGTCTCTCACTCTTGTGATTTTCCCCATCTTTGGGAAAACAAGCCTTTCTTCAAAACACAAGACCTCCTCCCCCTTGGCCATGATCTTCTTTCTCCTTTCACTGAGAAGAGAAACAATCAAGAAGAGAATCTCACATTGTCTTACCAACCTGTGCCCTTAGTGTGCGCTGCCTTCTTCTTGTACCAGGAGGCACGGTCCCAGCTCCCGTCTAGGGCACACCCCTCACACACAGGACACTAACCCCTCCCACCCACCCAAGGATTTTGCTCTTGGGACTCTTTCCTCTCATCTGTGCCTTTATTATTCACTCTATTAATCAGTCCATGATCTACAGACAAGATATAATCTTCTCTTAAACACTCATGACCCTTCAGGAACATCTTCCAGTCACCCTCCTTGTTTCCTGCATCCCTCTGCAGCACAGCTCCCTGGGAGAGGAGCCCAATTCCACACGCTCCTCCCCTCCCCAACATCCTCTCTGGACTCTACTGCACCAACCTCCCTTGGCATTAAGCATGAAACCTCAAGGTGAAGATCACCAATGGCCTCTGCTTTCCCAATTCCATTCTCAGCCCTCACCCCACCCAAGTTCAGTTGAAGGTTTCTTTCTTCTTAAAGAGTTTCTTCTCTTTGTTTTCATGACTTGTATCTTCTCTATGGACGCTCACTTCCTGGCTGAGTTGGGCAGCCCTGGAGATTTAAGGTCCATCCAGTGGGATGACACCCATGTCCATGCCTCTCTCCCATGTCCATAACTCTCTCCCATGTCCATGCATCTCTCCCATGTCCATGCCTCTCTCCCATGTCCATGACTCTCTCCCATGTTCATGCCTCTCTCCCATGTTCATGTCTCTCTCCCATGTTCATGTCTCTCTCCCATGTTCATGTCTCTCTCCCATGTTCATGTCTCTCTCCCATGTCCATATCTGACCTCTGCCCTGAATTCACGTGCTCACATCTGACTCCATTTGGCAGTTGAATAAGCTTCTCAAATCTCCCTGTCCAAACTGAGCTCTTGACTTGAACCCCCTAAGCTGTTTCTCCCCTCATCCCCAGAATCCCCATTTGTGGATTGCTCTGACCAAAAGCCATGGAGTCCTTGCTGACTCCACTCTGCCCATAAGCCATATCTAACTCCTCAGCTAATTCTCCTGACTCGACCTTTACGGCCTGTTTTGAGCCTGGTCCTTCTTACTACCCAAACTATGACCACCCAGCATTTGTTGGGGGGGGGGGGGGGTGGAGGAAGAATTGGAAGGAGCCCCTCAAGTTTTCTGCATTCTCTCACTGCACCCACCTGCTCAAACCTTCCAGGGCCTTCCCTCCCACTCAGAACAGTGAAAACCCTGACTCACCAGGAGGTCTGAGCTCCTGGACCCTCCTCCTTCCTTATCTCCCCAAACCTCCTCTCACTCACTCTGCTCACCCACACAGGACCCCTTGCCTTCTTTGGGCTTTCTGTTTTTAATGTTGGCACTCTCTGACCCAGCTAACCCTCAGAGATATTCCCTGGCCCTCCACCTAAAATAGCACCAACCTCTATTCTTTCCTATCCCTTTGCCTTATTTTAATTTTTCTTCACAACATTTGTTGTTTCCACTTCATTTTATCACTTATTTATATGTTTTCTTCTGCCTGCCCCCTCTCCCCCCAGCAAATCTGGAAGGTAAGCTCCTAGGCCTAGAACAGGGGCAGACACAGAGTAGTGCTGCACCCTGTTCATTGGGTTCATGATGACTTGTAGGAGAGCCGACACACAATGAAGACACTATACAAGAAAAATGAATTTTGAAGGCATGGGGGGCTAGTTGGCAACTCTTTCCAGAAGAGGGTCCACAAGTTTGGGTCCTGCCTGCTTTTTATTCAGTTTGGTTACTCATTTGCCCCTTAGCAATGCACATAGGCAGAGCAGATAGAATCAAAGGTAAAGTTTAATAAACTATGTAAAGATTATCAGTCAGGAAATCACCTTGAGCCATCGCAATCACAGCAGGAGCAATCCCATGCTGATTTCAGCCCTGCTGAGATCAAGGCCCATTGGCCTTCAAATGCCTCTTTTGCACTTTCATGTTAATGCTGCTATGCGTTGGCCTCCAGCAGAGTAGGACATCACATTTTATTTTGTGAATAGATGGACAGTTGGATGGATGGATGAATGGATGGATAGATGGACAAATGGATGGACAGTTGGGTGGATGGATGAATGGATGGATAGATGGACAAATGGATGGATGGATGGGGGTGTGGCTGGATCAATCAGAGGATGAATGGATGAATAGATTATAGATGAATGAATGGATGGACAAGTGGATGGATGGACGGATCAATGTTTAAATGGATGGGTATTTAAAGGATGGATGGACAGCTAAATTCCACAAGACAGCACTTACAGGGCAAAACATAAAACACATCAACAGCTCTTGCATCTGAATAAAACTTTATGTTTACCTAAAGCCTACTCATATTTGTATTTCCAGACACCTCTGAGGGGGTAAGGGTGGATATGTCCATGCCAAATTTTTAGAGGCTGGGAGTGGAGGAATGAGTAGCACATGTTCTAAAGGCTGTGTGAGCCTTCTGGCTTCCTTAGGTGGCATCTGCAGCCATCCCTTCTCCTCAGATGACCGGGAAGAAATCTCTTCAGCCCACAGATGATAAAAGATTCCTCTGGTTGTGGCTGAGTGGAGGCAGCAGCAAGATTGATGGATGGGAAGAACCATTTGCAGAAGCTGTGGATCAAAGAAGTCTCATCAGGTGGAGTTTAAAAGAACACTGGACACAGGTGGGTGGCTTTAGCTTCTGAGACCCACTCCACCTTTGCTTGCTGCAGATCTATGATGGATCATCATAATATGACCCTATCCCTGTCTCTGCAAACATCCTTCCCTGTAGGACCCATTCTCTTTTAGAGCTTAGAACTTCTTAAATATTGTTTTTAAAGTTTTAGTGTGCCTGGGAGACACACACTAGCATCTGCCCAACATTAGAGTTGGCTGTATCCACACTTTGTCCATCCAACCTCCCAGCGTAGGGGCTTCTTAATGCTAAGGACAGATGGGGCATCCACGTGGCAGGCCCATTAGCTGTGTGGCCAGTTGCTGTGCATCCTCCCTGAAGATGGGAGTGGTCTCTGAGCAGGAAGGGTCCAGGATGAGGACCAGCCAGAGTTAGACCCTGGAAGTGAAGAGACCTTGAAAGAGGACGTGCATTAGGTGGCTTAATCCCCTCAACAACCTTTCGAGGAGGGTACTCAGGTCACTCCACAGATGGAGAGACTGAGGTTCTGAGACTGGGGGAGCCTGGATTCAGTCCAGGCCTATTTGACTCCAAAGCCAGTGTGCTCACCACTGGTGTGTGTGTGTGTGTGTGGGGGGGGGTTACATAGGTCATGTAAATCATTCAGGAACAATGCAGGCTCACGGACTGATTGAAAAGTAGCCATTCCAGGATATGGCCTTCAGGGGAGTGGGTGTTGTAATAACACTAGTTTCTCAGCCAACCCAATCCCAAGGCCTAGAGTATTAAGAGCAGGAAGTGTGTGGTTGACTGTCCAGAGGGACTAGGCTGGAATTCAGATGGACTCTGGGTGGGGTTGAAGGGGACACACACACACACACACACACACACACACACACACACATTTTTAAACCTGAAAAGATGCCTCATCATTTCAAAGACACCCAAACCTCTGCTTCCCTGTGTTATTCTCCCCCATCCCCTATTGCACCCCCACCTCCACCTCCACCCCCAAGCCGTCCCACGTGGACACACCGAGGTATCTGGAGCCGCTTCAAGCTGCATGTCCCAGCTTAAGATGCTGTCTCCAGCAGGTTCCTGTGGAGAGGTTGTACTGGTAAAGGAGTGTTCTAGAGCCATCTTCACCACCTCGGGGAGTGAACCCTAGGTTGGGCAGACAAGGGGCCTTTTGGCAGAGCCTGGTAGGGAGCCTGAGGCTGGTAGGGAAGGAACATCTAATGAGGGAACCAGAGAACAGCCAAAAAAGATCAGAGCAGAGTGGGGGTTTGGCCATGGATAGGGTCAGCTGGGGCCATAGTGCTGCCTGCTTCCTGGAGCAAGCTCAAATCCCCATGAGAACCCCCATCTTGTCCCACTCAGATACCTGAGCTCAGGTCCCACGATGTAGCAGATGGAGGCAGGCAGGAAGCCATTGAAGGTGGAGCTCAGGGCTGCACTATAGGCGCCCATGGAGGGGAAGATGAGCCAGTCACCCACGTCCAGCTCAGGCAGCTGCACTTCCTCGTTGAAGAGCTTGTCAAAGGCAGTGCACGTGGGACCATAAAGGATGCAGGGGAAGAGGGGCGGCTTTGAGCAGAGCTCCTGCAGGGACACGGGGGTGGGAATCAGAGGAGGAAGAGCTCCTGCCCCCACCACCCTCACAGCCCATGCCCTCGGCCAGCAGAGCACCCCCAGGCACAGCAAGGACACAGGCCGTCACCCACACCAACCAGTCCCTATGTGCCAGGCACTGCTCCTGACCGAGCTCATGGAGCTTAGAATCACTCAAGTGACACATTCTAGCCCTGCCAAATCTCAAGGCAAGACACAGGGGGCCTGTTTCCCATCTTTAAAAGCAAGAGGTTTAAGTCATTAATCACTCAAAATATGGTGTCAAACTCAGCTGCACATTTGAGCCACATTGGAGGAGTTTTAACCAAGGATTGATGCCACGTCCCAACCCATGAGAGGCCTGATTTCAATTGTCTGGCCTTCGCCAACCATCGGGGTCCTTCCTAGATGAGTCTATTGTCAAGCAAGTTGGAGACCCTCCATTTCCTAGGACTACTGCATCCCCAACGTTCAAAGATTCTGGTAACACACACACACACACACACACACACACACACACACACACACACGGCATACAGAGAGATCACATGGAAACCCAGAAGCAAACCAATGTGCTTATACACCAACACAGGATCACGTACCTGTCCACCACCTACCTGTACAGGTGTCAGTCAGCATGCTCATACACAAAAATGCACACACACAGCAGTGCACATGCAAATGCAAACAGGCTTGCGTGTTCACATCTTTGTACACGCATGTGGTATGACAATCTGCAAAGCCATGCGTACTCTAAGGCCCTGCCCCCTTGCACCTCGCAGAGGGGTCCCTGCCTCACAGGGAAAGGGGCTGAACTTAACTGCTCTCGGGGTCCGGGAGGTGCCAGAGCCACACCAGGGTCCCCTTACCTTCACCACCGTTGGCACCCTGGGGTAAGGCTCCCTGAGTAAATCGCGAAAGGTGCCATGGTGGCCGTCGCTGAGATAGTACAGCAGTTTCCGGTGGCCTCCTGGGAGAGGGGAAAAGACAGGACTGTGCTCAGCCTGGTCTCATCACTGATGGTCAACACTGAGTCCAACACTGGCCCAGACCCTCTGCCCAGCACGGGATTACCCTGTGCCCTGCTTCAGAGCCTCCCCAGATCCCCTCCCCAGATTCAGGCCTGCTCTCTGAGCTCCCACAGCTCCTTGGCACCACCTGCACCTCATCAGAGTGCTGCGGCTGCTATTGCCACTAATAATGACTGTACAAGTAACCAGGCATTGTTGCAACCTGTCTGCACGTATCAAATCATTTCATTCTCCTCACGACACTCTTGAGTAGGGACAGAGAACACTACTGTACATTTGAGGAAACTGAGTCTTGCCTGAAGTTGCACAGGACAATGTGGCAGGGCTGGGATTCGTCCCCATAACAGGGCCCGGCTCTCACAGTCAGAGAGCAGCGTCATGGTCGCCTACTTCCCTTTAAATACTCTGCCTCTGTTGATGCCTCATGACTACATGGTGGCTGCTCCCCAGCTCCACCACACACCCACGTACATTGAGCTGATGCTCACCAACAGCCCCAGATCCTAGGACATGAACTCCTACCAGCCAGTTTCTGAACAGCAAATCCTAGTCTGTCCTTAGACATTAATTTTCTTAATCTTTCCACTGGTTTCCGTGGGTACTGGGGCCATTCCAAGCACTTGAGCATTTAGATACCCAGATCTTTCTCATTATTAGTTTCCTCTCCCTGGGTCTCCCCCCGACCCCTCCACCCCTACACTTCTCCCTGGTGTGAGTCACTCCTGTCCTCTGCTCTCTCAACTGCCAGCACTGACTCTGCCTTCTGCACCCATGGCCCCACTTGACCCTAAGCCAGTTGGTCATGGGTTAGTCATGGCAGCCCTGAGGCTGGGCGCTCACTCGGCTGGCATGTCTGCAAATACAAGGGCACCAGCCTCTCAGTCGGACGGACCTGGCACCGCTGTGCACGAACTAGCTTTGCTGCCTCAGACAATCACTTCCTCTCTCTGAGCCTCAAGATCTCTGCCAGGAAAATGGGAATGACCCCAGACTGCCTCACAGGAGGGCTGAGCAGAAATTGGGTAAAACAGTAATTTCTCACATAATAGATCCTTAATCACTGGCAGCTCATGCTATTGTGAAGACAAACATAGTAAGCCATAATATGTATATATCAGGCCTCTGTTAAATGATGACTGAAATCATATCCCCAAACCCCAATATTCTCTAATGAGACCTTTTGTGCCTTTAGGATGACAAAGATGTGGGTAGGGCATTGTCTAAAGGATAAGGAAACAGATTAAAATGAATTAGAGCCCAGCTGGCATGGCTCAGTTGTTGAGCCTGAACCTATGACCACAAAAGGTCATGGTTCAATTCCTGGTCAGGGCACATGCTCAAGTTGCAAACTCGATCCCCAGTGGGGGATGTGCAGGAGTCAGCCAGTTAGTGGTTCTCCCTCATCATTGATTTTCTGTCTCTCTCTACCTCTCCCTTCCTCTCTGAAATCAATAAAAATATTTAAAACATAAAATAGATATTATTTAGAAATATTATATGATGGTCATAAAATTTCAGAGTAAAGGGCACTAACCCAGAGGGTGAGTCTATTCTAGCTCATCATGAACTTGAGTTTCTACTTAGTCCCTTTGTGAGGACAGCAACACCACCTGACTCTGTCCCCCACATGACAAACAATCAAAAACCCTCCTGAGATGGTGACCTCCATATCATTTACAGTTACCCTACAAATGTCAGTTACCCTACAAATGTCACCCTTAACTCCAGGCCATGATACCGACAATATTTCCTTCATGTATGTGCTGTAAAATTAGTATTTAATGACTGTATCTTTTTGTTATAAAACTACATGCCTGTTAGAAAATGTCGGCTTGGGAACAGTGAGGTGCACACAGGGAGTGGAGGCTGTGCCCTCAGACTTCCCCTCCAGGCACAGGGAGAACAGACCCCATGCCTCCCTCCAGGTCGTCTGAGAACAGCACAATAATGTTACTGACAGGTTCTGTCCTGTAGCTAAATCACAGCATCTGTTCCCCAAATGTGGAACTCAGACCCTCTGCTCCTCCTTCCCCGAGGCCTGGGGACCGCTGGACAGAGTGCTCCCAGCCCAGTCCGGGCCCACCCACCAGGCTGCAGCACAGCCTTCTTGGCGATGATGTTGACCGCGGCCACGCAGACAGATGCCGCATAGAAGCAGCCGGGCTCCGCAATGACTTCAATGCCGGCTCCCTCGGGGAAGTCCTGGGCCAGGGCAGCATTGATCGCTCTCGCCATCTGTGGGGACAGACCCGAGGCCTGGGAGGCCAGTTCCTATGTGGGGCCTTTCCCTGCATCTTCTCTCTTCATTCCCCTGACAGCTCTGTGGGAAGGTGTCAGCATCCCCTTGAGCAGGGGAGGAAACAGGTGAAACTGTGGCCCAGAGGGGAGGGGTGCCTGAGGGCACAAGCCTAGTGACCAGGCTGCAGCACCATGTGGTCTGACTGGGAATCATTAAAATCATTACGCGATCAGCAAAGGGGAACTGCCCCCTGGGTGTGGGGGACACAGTAAGTATACCGCTATTTTACTAGGGGTGGTAACCAACACGTCTAAAGAAGGCACAGAACTGCATGCACACATGCACACACACACACACACACACACACACACACACGTATACACACTTGTATATGCACACAGGCCATGCATGTAGAGTCAGAGACCTCTCAACCAACACAAAGCCCAGCTGCATGCAGCCACATGTCTGAGTGCCAAGAGCTCCATGTGCACTAACAGACACTCTGTGCAATGAACCCAGGCTGGGACCCCAGACGCCCTCTCCTCCTCCCCTTACCTCCTCAAACTCCGGCTCAGAGCCCTCCACTCCAGGGAAGCCCCCTCCAATGTCCAGGAGGCTCATGTCATGCCCGACCCCACGGCCCATCTCGAACACGCGCCGGCAGTCGGCGATGGCCTGTGTGAAGCTGTGGGGATCCCGGCAGCCGGAGCCCACGTGGAAGCTGAGCACAGGCGCAGAGACAGGGCAGGAACATACGAGGAAACACAAGTGTCAACAGGAAGAGGCGCACACCGGGAAACAGCCACACAGGCACAGTGTGAACCAGACAGACACAGACACGGAGACACGTGTGACTACATGGAGCTCGTGGGCACCCACAGAAACCACAGCCTTGGCTGTGCACATGGGGACCCCAGAGACAGACACCCTATGACAGTCTGTGAGTTGGGACTCTTGTTGTTGTGCGGCATTCACCTCTCTTAGGCACCCGTCTCAAAGCCTTCTTTTCTTCTCCTCCTTGTGATGCATGTGATCTGAACCCCAAATCTCAAACCACCCACCTGGGAGGGCAGAGGACCCAATCGGGGGCAGGTGGGGTGAGGTGAGGGAGGACGCTCCTCTGGTGCAACATTCAAGGGGACACCAAAGCACTAAGCAATCAACAGAAGTAACCTTCACGCAATACACACATATATTAGAGACAGAGCAAGAGCGAGTGTGTGAGAGAGACCTCCAATGGTTGCCTCCTGCACACACCCCATCAAGAGATAGAAAGCACTGATGCAAAAATAGCCATGATGAATAAAATACAAAAACTTTATCCCTAGCAGGTTTGGCTCAGTGGATAGTGTCAGCCTTCGAACTGAAGGGTTCTAGGTTCATTTCCAGTCAAGGGCACAAGCCCAGGTTGTGAGCTCGATCCCCAGTGGGGGACTTGCAGGAAGCAACCAATCCATGATTCTTCATCATCATAGATTTTTTTTCTTTCCCCCTCTTCCTTCCTCTCTGAAATCAATAAAAATATATTAAAAACAAACAAACAAATCTTTAAATAAAGATAGGATTAATTAAGAGTAATTGGACCCAGAAGGAAAAAGAAAAGTCAGGAGAGAAACCAAGATGGCAGCATAGATAAACACCTGAACTGCTGCCCTCCACAACAATTTTAAAACTACAACTAAAAGACAGAACGGACATCACCCAGAACCACAGGAAAGCTGGCTAGTGGAAATTCTACAACTAGAAGAAAAGAGGAAACCACACGGAGAATCAGAGCTGCAAAGGACTGAGATACAGAGGCATACACGTGGAGAGGAAGGGCGGCTGAGTGCCTGGCTGGCATTCTCTGACGCGAGAAGGAAGGAAACCCACGATTGCACTGAACCCCAGTTCTGGGCGAAATGCCATAGACCCAGGCTCAGACGGGGAATCTGGACTGTCAGGTAGAGAGAAAGGCACACAGAGACTTAGAGAGGAAGCTGCTGTGGGCAGGGGTCTGGAGGCGTGAGCGCATGAGTGCGTGCATGACTGACTGCTGAGGTTGCTTCTAGCTTTCCCTATTGGAAGGGAGTTGGAAGCTCCTGACTGCACTGAACCCCAGTTCTGGGTGAGCCTGGGGGAATCTGGACTGTCAGGCAGAAACTCAGGGGAGCTGAGGAAGGCAGAGGTCTGGAGGCATGAGCAAGGGCAGGGCTGACAGAAGTCAAGACTGTCTGGTCAGCTCTGAGTCTCTGCCCCATCCAAGCTGAGCACAGAGGCTTTGTAATTTTGCAAGTCTAGTCCTATAAGGTTGTCTCCAGCACAAGTCTCCTGGCATATTTTAAATAAATAAATAAAATTAAAATAAATGAACAAGAAATCTAATGAACAGAATAAATGGATGAATTAAATAGAACCAGAGGCATGGAAACATGGAATAGACAGATAAATCCCATTAGAAAGCAGGGAGAGGGGGTGGGAAGAGGTAACTAAAAAACTTATATGCATATATGCATTACCTGAGGACACAAACAATAGAGTGGTAAAAGCCTTGGCAGGGTAAGAATAGCATGGAGGGGCTAATGGGAGAAAAGAGGGAGACCTCTGTAATACTCTTGACAATAAAGATTTTTTTAAAAAAAGAACTCATATAACTATAATAGTTTATGATGATGATGATGTTAGTATTATAAGGAACTTAGAAATCACCTACACCAGCAATTTTTAAACTTTTTGCCATTAAAACTAAAATATGGACCCCACAGTGGATATTTGTCCTGTCTTGGGGCTGCCCAGCATCTATGAACACTCATTCCCCTTCCCTCCCCTCTGCCATGGGCAAGCAAGAAATGGGCCTTCTCAGACTCCTTTGTAGCACGGATGTGTGAGGATGTGACCTGGGCTTTATCAGATTCATTTGCCAGCATGAGGATCAGCTGGTTATAAAAGTGACTGCAGCAGCATGTGGGTCATGGTGAAATAGTAGTTAATATAATTATTACTGTTTTCATCTGGAATAATCAGATCTAGAAAATCAGGCTTTGGGGACCAAATGTTTGCTGACATAGAATGGCAGGAAAAGCATGTATTGGGGTGGAGTGACATCTAAATGTAAGAGAGAATTTAGAAGAATAAAAGAATAAGCTCACAGTTATATTTATTGGCACAAGACATTCTCAGAGAACCAGGAACTATCTATGACTGAACTCTGAGGAATCCCTCACCTCTTGCAGCTGAAGAGATAAAGAAGCCAATAACTAAAACTAAAATCAAAACTTAAGAATATAAGTTGCGAGAAAAACCAAGATAGCGGCATAGGTAAATGCCTAACTGCAGCCTCGCACAACAATTTCAAAAAAATACAACTAAAATACAAAATGGACATTATCCAGAACTACAGGAAAGTTGACTGACTGGAAATTCTACAACTAGAAGGAAAGAGAAAACCAGAAGGAAAATCAGAGGAGCTGTAAAAATCTGAGGTATGGAGACTCGGTGCACGCATGGGGAGAGGACGGAGCCAGAGAGGAGGGGCAGCTGAGTGCCTGGCTGGCGTTCCCTAGCGGAAAGGAGATAAAAGCTTTGGACTGTGCTAAACCCCAATTCCGACTGCACTGAACCCCAGTCCTGGGTGAGACCCTGGGGTCCCAGGTTCATACAGAGGGAATCTGGGCTGTAAGGCAGAAGCTCAGGGGAGTGGCAAAAGGCAGAGCCCCGAGTCGCGCACATTTCGCGCAGAGGACAGAGTGTTGATTGAGTCGCTGGATTGCCCTAGATGGAAGGAGACATAAGCTCTGGACTGCTCTTAACCCCACTTCCAACTGCACTGAACCCCAGTTGCAGGCTCGTTGGGGGAGAGACTAGACTGTCTGGTAGTGGGTGAAACTCTAGGGCACTTTTCTTTCAGAGGTGCTTGCAGTGAGTACCAAAGGACACTGAGGAACACTGAGACTTAAGAATCTCATAGGGCAGGGCTGACAGGAAGCCAAGGCTGTAGGCTCCACCCTGAAACTCTGCCCCATCCAAGCCGAGCACAGAGGCTTTTGCAATTTTCCAAGTCTAGTCGAACAAGGCTGTCTCCCGGCATAGACATAGTTGATCCTCACAGTCAATTGGCCTGGAGGTCAGTTCCCCCCAGTGTTATCAACAACAATCAAGACTTAACTACAACGAGGGTGTACACACAGTCCACAAAGGGGTGCACCAATAGTGTCCACCTCAGGTAACTGGTAGGCTGATCCATTGAGCCATATAGGACACCTTAGCACACAAAGCCACTCTACCAACCCAGGAAAGCCAAGAAAATGCCAAGACAAGGAAACAGATAACAAACAAAAGAAATGGAGGACAACAAGCTACTGGATATAGAGTTCAAAACCACAGTTATAAGGTTTTTCAAAAATTTCCTAGAAAAGGCCAATAAAATAAACAAGACCTATGAGGATATGAAAAGGGATCAACTAGAAATAAAGAATACATTGTTTGAAATAAAAAATATTATACAGAGTCCTAAAAACAGACTGGAAGATCGCAAGAATCAAGTCAAAGATTTGGAACATAAAGAGCCAGAAGACACTCCTCCACAGAAGCAAGAAGACAAGAGAATCCAGAAAGCTGAAGATAATGTAAGAAAATAAAGATAAAAAATTATCAGCAACAAATACATTACTATCAACAAGTGAATCTAAAAACCAAGGGAATTAAAAAAAATTGATGAACAATGTTAACTGTTGAATATAATAGAATCAGAGGTATGGAAGGGGAGTGAACTGACGATTCTCGGAGAAAAGGAGAGTGGGGGTGTGTGGGAAGAGACTGAACATAAACTATGCACCTATGTATGAGGACAATGGGGGGTGGGGAAAAGGCAGAGGGTGGGATGGGAACCTGGTGGAGGGGAGCAATGGAGGGGGGGGGGAAAATGAGGGACATTTGTAATAATATGAACAATAAAGATTTATTTTAAAAAAAAGAATATAAGTTGACATATTAAAATGCTGGTTAAACTACAGCCTTACTTCACACGTGTGTGTGTGCGCACACCACAAACCAAAGATATCAACAAGCACATGAAACGATACTCAACATCATTAATCATCAGAGAAATACAAAGGAACACCACCAAGAGATGCCAGTCATCCTCGCTAGCATGGCTAAGATGAAAGAGGCTGGCAATGCCAAGTGCTTTGGAAGATGTAGAGCAGCTCTAACTCCCATTCCTTCTGCCAAGACTACTGCAGAACCTCTTTGGTAGGATTTACTTAAGCTAAACACACACCTACCCTATGACTCAGCAATTCCACTCTCGGTATACTCCCAGAGAAGAAAGATATACACAACAAAAATATGTCCACCAAAGACATGTACAAATGTTCACAGCAAGTCTATGTACAATATCCCCAATTGGACACAATTCAGAAGTCCTTCAACCATAGAAATAATAAATACATATCCATTTCATGAAATACTACATAGCAATGAAAAAAGACCTAATTGAAAAAAAAAAAAAAAAGAGAGAGAGAGAAAAAAAGAAGAAAAAAAGTGAATCTCACATACCTAATGTTGAGCAAAAAAAGCCAGGCCCAAAATAATGACACATACATAAATATTTTAAGACTCAATTGATATGAAATTCAAACACAAGATAAGTAATCTATGCTGACAGTACTCAGAAGAGTTGAGATTTCCGTGTAGCTGCCAGTGACTGCGAGAGGTTGTGAGGGAGCCTCTGGGTGCTGGAAGTGTTCTATATCTTATAATCTTCATCTATATCTTATATATACATA